CGAACGTAAACTTTCCTTGAGAAATTTCCGCAAGACTAAAAGTGAGGAAAATTATTTGACAAGTAATGGTCATCATCAGGTTCGCGCCAAACGCGTAGTCGGTGTTTTCTATCAGCTCGCATATACGGTTATGCAAACGTCTGTAGTGTTTTACTCCTCTGCCGCAGCCGTGTTTCAGCAAGTTAGTGTTGAATTTTCGTACGATAAGAGTTGCATCCCTGAAGACGACTATGGTCGAAACCAGACTGACTTCGGATCGGTAATAATAAAAGTCGAGAACGTGACACACTGAGGATATTCGGAGAAGAAGCAAAGTGGAAATCGATCTCAGCGCCATCGCCGAAGCAAAAAGTATAACCTTTATGGCGATGACTTTCTTCTTACGAAACGCAGCCCTTATTTTCGTTTTAAACATTTCGATATCTTGCGATATTGCGTGCATAGTGTTGTATTGCCTTATTATTGTTGCGGATATGACGTTGTTCAGTAATAATAGAGACATGTTACCAAAAACGAAAACACCCCTCGGTATCATCTTCATGTCCAACTTGTCGTAACATGTCACGCCGAATGCCATATAAAATGAGATTGCGTTAAACGCGGCCGTATACAGTGCCGTATAGAGCACTAAGATATTCTTTTTCGGTAATATTTGGGGCGACGCGAGTCCCAAAATGGCGTTGAATAGTACTGTTTTTGCAAAGGTACTTGCTCTACCCGTCATGATGGAAAACACTCTAACCACATGCCCTCCAACAAAGGGGTAAAAAAATGATTAGCTCGAAATTGATATCAAAAATTCCTGCCTTAAAAAAATTATTAACCTAATGTTTCCGAATATCTACTTCATCCAATGATGATTTGTCTAAAAAATAAAAATGATAACAAAATCTCAATCCTTTTACGATGTCAATCTAGGCGGCGAGGTATTACGAATGTTCCATTAGTCCATTATCAGTGTAATCATTCTGAAAAGCAATATTTTAATGTCCGTTGGCAGCAATGACTTACGCGAATCAATTTTTAAACGAGTTATATTCAACTACATGCGTCTTCAAATAACTGGTCAACTACACCGAATTGTTGGTAGAAAGCTGTGCAAGGCAGTCTTATCCAAGGTTGTCTTCCTCTCCATTGTAATCAGACAAGTTAGCTACGACTAAAGCCATAGTCGTTACGTGAGTTTAAATCAAGCATGCTGATTATTTCAGACCTCATGATATTTTCATCAGAAATTTCCGACTAAAGTTTCTTTAACTTCCGTTTTTTTAATACAACAAAAGTATGTCTAAAAATTAAGTTGAAAGTTGAAAGTCCTTAAAACTATTTAATCGTGAGTGTATTTCGAGAAAATACTTCGAATTAGAAGAATTACAATTATAATTTAGGATTGTAAATTTTCTACCTTACCATCGGTTTGGTCAAAGACTTGTACACTCCACATTGCTGTAACAATCAAATACAAATATTTTAACACAGAATTGGTAACCTCTGGCAACACCTGGGTAAGTTATATAAGAGTCGGGATTTATCTATGGTACAAAAAATTCACAAAATTACACAAAAACCAGTTAGGATATGAAACAAAATATCATATAATGAGAACGATTTCTCATGACAGACATGTTTCTTAGCAACGCTTGTAACACTTCAGAATTGTTACTTTACTGGAATACGATCCGGTAGTTCCGCGCCTACATTTTAAATTCTAAGCGCCTTTTTTTTCCTGCCTCACCGGCAAACACCTGATTAGCTCTGACGTCTGCGCTACCCGGTTAAGAAAGTCGTAATTTAATTTGCTTACTAATGTTTCAAATACACACTTCCTAATAAATGGTCTCCTTAAAACTATACCCTTTTATCAATGAAGAATTAATTGAACCCGACAGCGGAATAAATTCGTTCGCGAAATAGATTCGTATCACTAGTATCATTGGGCCTATGGCCTTATACACCAAGTTCCGTGATTTCTCTCCGTTCCGGCATCTCTCTGAGAAAGTAATCTATTTATCTTTCTCACTTCTGGCTCCGAGCGACATGCGTGGTATGATATCGTTTTCCTGTTTCGGTAGAAGAACAGTGTAGTAGCTAGCCAAAAAGTGATTAACCTACCGGCTTTTTCTTCAGCCATCGCTTTGCGGTTATAGGGTTAAATTCACTTAGATGTGTGGTCAGCGATTTGGTGATTCCGTTGCTGTTCATATTTTTGGTTCGTTCGGAGAACTGCCCACACTTACTTTGTAAGAGGATTTGACTACTACCTGCTGCCTACCAAGCTTTCACCCTCAAGAACATCCATCGAGGTAAAGTCTTTAACTATTTAGCTTTTGTTACTTTTACCATTCCGTTCACTCTTTAAAGAGTCAGTAAATTTTCCGGCCCGTTTTCGGAATTTAGCCGCTGTCGGCTTATACGCGGAAACTTTATAGGGTCCTTGGAACACCCGTACTCTCGTTGGAGCACCCACATCTCCTTGAAGCCCTATACTCGCCTTAGAGCACCCGTACCCCCTTTAGGAGGGCTCGCGTTTCGGAGGCTTCTAGATTGACGTATTCGGTGAGGATCCAAACTTCGAAGTTCCTGTGTTCTCTGGATATTGGAGCACATTTGAATCATCGCCTGACTACCGGCTCACTTGATAGATCTGCGCGAGGTCAGACTCCCCCTGTAGGCTGCACTGTTCGGGAAATAAACGAGGTGATGTCCGGTTCGATGTAAGCGCTGCGCGAGATATTGTTAGGCATACCCTTTTTTTTGTTTTCCGTTTTTGTTACGCTCGGTAATTTAATCGATACCCTTTTTTGCTATACCGACACGGAAATTCAATAATCATGTAGTTTTACTCTCTAAAATTTGTGTACAAATGCTTTGTAAATTTGTGTATAATTATTTGCGGGAAGTTGACGTACCGGTAATACTGAGTATGATCGTGGTCGAGTTTTTTTATGTTAATAATTACCTATATTGCCCCTGTACGCCTGTGCCCCTTTGTGTATTTCTATTATTTTGGGAATTTCGTATTAAACGGGCTGTCAACTTGTTGCGGGGACGGCAATTGAATTTTGCGGAGTTTAGGTCGGTATGTAGCGGATTTGTAGTTTCTCATTATCGACGCGTAATAAATAACGTAGACCAGTTTTCATCTGTCTCTTTTTTGTCCCCTTAACCTTCACGACTATCTTTTATCGATTGTACCAATTTAAATTTAATGGTAGGTTTCATCGTTAATGTTCTCTTTTTTGTAAAATATCGGGTTCCTCACACCATCTGAGAGACTGGAAGGTCTGCTACTTCCTGCTACTTCCTGGCGCCCTAAGGATAAATAGTGCTATATTTTCTTTATTATTCGTGGACCCCCCCCCCCATCGTTCAAGAACTCTGAGCACTACGGGTAACTAATTTGCAAGCACCCAGCGACCCAGTTTTGCAAGAAATCCAATCTTTTTTTTATCTATTCATTTATTTACCCTTTTTTTTTCCTTTTCTGACCAGTATTTCGCGTTGATTTTATATAAGATTTAGATCAAGAGGTGTGTGGCACGCAATTTTTTGCTAATGGGGAAGTAATTGTTGCTAACTGTGAGCAAGATGTCGGCTGTATGCTAAGGAAACTAAATGATGAATAGAAAAAATGGAACTAGCATGCAAAAATGAAGTACTTACGTATAAGAGAGGAACAAGAAGTTCTGAATTTACCTAGGCACCATGGTATCAACAGAAAGACTAATGTTGCCACATTGACAATGGTAGAAACAATTACGGATGATGGGTCAGAGTATTGGCAGTGATCAACCAAACACAAAAAAAAGAATAGAAACTATGGAAGAAGTAGGGAGCTGTAATATATGAATCCAGAACGAATACAAAAATTTTTATTCCAATGGGTAAGTTTGCATCAGTGTCCCAGGCTGTGATAATCGCACTATAAAATTGTGCAAGAGAAACCGAAATGATAAATATGGGTATCAGGGCACGAATTTTCGAACCAGAACCATTCTGTGAGGTGGTCTATTGCAAAATCAGACAATGGATGGGAAGATAATCCGGGCAACGGTAGAGGGATATGCCAGGACAAAGACAGGCCAAGGAATTCCTTAGAGGCAAATCAGTCAAATTTACAGAAGCCCTGTAAAAAGGCCTTGAGAATAATGGTGTGTCTATTGACGGGGCCACTGCCGGCTTAAAAGGCATCTAAATGGGAGTGGAGGAAAACACTGAATGCCGATTCTGTCAAGAAGAGGAACAAGTAGTCATACACATATTATGTCAGTGTGAAGGCCTATCCAGAGTGCGCTTTCATCTGTTGGGCATAATCAAAACAGAGACAATTAGTTACACCACTATAGAATTTATGGAGTCTTCTAAAGTATCTTTTCCTACTTTCGTAAAAACCGCCGTTTTTAAACTACAAGAGTGCGCTTTGTATTTAAAAAGCTTTTTTTTTTAATACCAATTACCACAATCCCACTAATCAGAGAATCAAGTCAGCACTGCAAAACTCACAAAGTTGATAAGTCGTTTTAGCAAGAATAACCTGCCTGATATCTCGCGCACAAACCTTATAAAGTCAGTGTTTTGGTGTTCTTCAAATGTTAAAAAAAAAATATCCAATTTTTTTTTTCGTGTACAATGTACATGAACACAGTCTGTCGGGTAAGAATCATTAAATTGTTTTTAACTGTTTGTGCTTAATATGACATTTTCACGTTATTTTTATTGCAAATAAACCTTATTATGATTATTATATTTAAGACCCGTATCGTTTTATTTATATACAGTTTAATGGCTGCTTGGTTAGTAATATTTGATTACTTATCCTCCCCAATAAAAGTAATTTTATGATCAGACTTGACAGGATAATTTTGCAACGATCGAATCTCCCAAAGGGAATAGAAAAAATCTTTAGTTAAATCGGAGTTCTATCAATTCACGATGAATATACCACATACCACATACTCTCTGATATAATTAAGGAAAAAAAAAACAAATTAATAGGATAGTCATTCGCGTTTATTCTTACATATAAAAACAAATTCACTAATTTGTATATATGTTTGTATGGAACTTGTATCTGTCATTCCGGAAGAGAGTGATGTCGGCGTGCGTAGCTATCTTGCGCAACTTTTTTGAGCTGAGTTGCCAAATTCCGTCCGGTTTCGTTAACCATCCCGCTGAAGACACCGTTAGGGTTCTGAAGGAGCGTGTGAGGATGCTCGAACTCTACCATGGTACCCCCGTCCATAACTAGGACTTTGTCCGAGTCCATGATCGTATTGAGCCTGTGCGCCACTGTCAAGACGGTGCAGTCGGCAAATTTTTTTCGTATAGTTTTTTGGATTAATGCGTCAGTTCTTTAAAAAGAATAAACCACAATATTACTCTCGATAAATTAACTGGCTAACTCGCTTAGCAACTTTTTGGATATTCACAACTAAATATATGTGAGTTTGATCGACGCCTCTCCAATCACGAGTGTGATTTTTCACGGAACGAGTGACGTCAGAACTGACACACGTCAAAATATCATGGTTAAAATTTAGAAAACCTCCGGCATTTTAAAGTGACACTTTGCACATACTTTATCAGCGCACAATTGGATATTTTGGAGTAGAGAATAGAAAATAGTGTAAAGTCTGTTCATAGATGTAAGAAAGTGACTAAATGATACAGGTCCGTACTTTGCTTAGAATTTAATTATTTGGGGTTTATTAGGAAAGATACTAAACAATATTTATTTATTTATGTATGTATTTATTTTTAAATCTAAAATAAAATTACAAATTATTTATATTACTTACTTAAATTACTTAAAATTATTCACGTAATATGTCAGTATCACTATCGCTATCATCGCCTGTTTTAATTATTATTTGTTCTATACTATTTGCAATATGGATATACGATTGTTCTGCTTTTTCTATATGTTTAACAGAATTTGTCCAACTTTGTGGAGGGATGTTAAAAACTTCGGTTTCTGTTAGTTTGAGGACACTGGAGTTAACACGGGGAAAACATTGTTACGACGACTGGCAGATTTCAGTTGGTGCCAAACATGTTCAATGGGATTAAATATACAGTGGTTAGGTGGAAGCCTTAAAACGGTATGCCCTAAATTTTTTGCATAATTATTACAGACATATTTTTTTTGTAGGTTCAAGCTTTGTAGAACCTCAATTAATTGCTTTTTAGTATAATTTGGTATACCTGTAGTTTTGGATTGTTGCTTTGGTGTCACATGAGGAAGGGGTTTTAGTCAACTGTCTACTGTGATAACTTGCATTGTCCATTACAATGACGCAATTAGGAGGAATGTTTGGAGAACAATCTTTAATATTTTTCGCAGATAGGGAAAGTCCATTTGCAATCTAATTCTTTTACTTCTTTTTGATGGCGCGTTTGTTTTACACTTATCAGTTGAGTCAACCCAACCCTTTTCCGGGGTATCATAACTGTTGAACCAGGTTTCGTGCAAGTAAATAATTGGCCTTTGTTGTTCTCTGTAAATCCTAATTTTTTCTAGATATTCGAGTAGCCATTTCCGAATACTAAAAGATTCCATTAAAATTTGCCTTTTGTCAATTTTTTAAATCTAAAACCCATGTGTTGAATACACTTCCATAATGTAGTTCTGCCACATTTAACACCGGTTTCATCTTTTTCAAGCCTCCTAATTAAGATATCTAATATAGGCACGCTTTGTTCCTCCTATAACTGGTAAATTTTGCACCGTATTATATCTTGATCACTTTCATCTACACTCGAGAAAATGTCAGCATCGCTTCTTTTTTTCCTCGAGGAAATGGGATTGTTCACAATTTTCCATACAGTTGATGTTGGAATTTTCGTCAATGTGGCCGTTTCAATGAGAGTCGAATAAACATTGTTTATAACTTCCTTAGTCTCAATAGAATAGTGTTTTCTACATTTGGGCGGGAGCATCTCTTGAGATCACTAGACTCGCGCATATTTTGCATAATTCGCACACGATTCAACACACGCTGTATTACACACGAAATAAGAATAATTACTAATAAACATAAACTAAGTAGTATACCAAACCAAAGAATATTAAACACAGGTTGGTATAAAATTATTTTCTATTACGGACCACAATTTTACCTGAATTTAAATTCCGAAACTTTAGGTAATAATCTTGTTGCATTGTGTGTTAATGACCAACCTTGGATAATCCCATTCAAAAGCAATTGGTCACTTTGTTATATCCATGAACAGACCATACCTAACAAGTTGCTAAACGTATGAATTTTTGTAAAAAGAGACAAGAAAATAATTCATAACATGTTTCATAGGTGCTCTTTTTAATACCAGCGTACGTTTCTATACATAATTTATTCAAACGCATTAGGCAAATGACATACGCGTGTTTTGCACAATGCAGTAATGCTGTTCAACATTTTGAAGAAAAGACCAGCCATAAATATATAATTCTGAACACCCATACTATCTCTTTGTCAGAAAAACAAACTCTTTTGATTTAATGCAATCTTATAGCCTTCACAATAACATAAAAGATTCAACAAGAAACCTTCAGGTTTTGCCCGAAGTTACCTCCCAACGGCAATAAAACTCGGGTCCGGTTTATTTAGATCGGTGAAAGCTAATTAAAATTCACTAAGAAAATATAATGACATTGAATATACACAATAAATTCATAACTAGGAATATCTATATATAATTACACGTCGTCATTGAGATTAATTATTACAGGATTTATGTTGTTTTGTATAGAAATGCATAATTGCATATGAATTTAGGATTTCCATTAGTTGCGCTTTTTTGAAACTTGTAAATCCGTCTTACGACGCACAATAGAAAAACAATGTGTTCCTATAGGACAAAATAAAAAATACAAAGCTACGTAGTGACTTTGTAGACTGCGTAGCACATAGTGCGAAAAAGACTATTCGCACAGCCATGGTTTTTCGAAAGCAATTCTTATTAAAGTTTGATATACATTTTTCAAAAACTGTTTTGCATCAAACGACAAATGATTTCGACGCGAAATGCACAGTAAAAACGATTATTCAACACTACCACTCAAGAAATATATCAGAAAGAAGGAAATAAACCTGGCCCATCTCTGGCTTGTCACTCAACGAAGAATAAATTTAGTGTTAATGGCTTTACTTAATAACAATAGGTAATAACATCGTTGAAGTTTTATTGGGAGGGTCAGACAGACTATACACTATTAGAAGCGCCCTCGTATCTAGGCGGAAATTTTTACATAAATAGTATAGGTGTTTTTATTTCGAATTTACTCTGCAGGTGATAAGTCATAATAATGTAGTTGAGAAAATTAAGAAGTTATCTAACATGAAGAAAATGTAATTTCAAGATGTAATTGAAAGGTACGTAGGTATAAGTATGGAAGTATGTACATTAGACCACTTTCTCTCATTAGCAGAGCAATTTTTTCCTACAAACCCTGAAAATTATGGTCCAATAGCAATCACATCATGCTTTGCTAAAATATTTGAATAAGCTATGCTTGACCGCTTACCGATTATTTAAGTAAAAACGCCATGCTGATATATTTTGTGATCTTAGCAGGGCGTTTGTAAGTATGAACCACGACATTTTTCTGAATAAGATGGAACAAATTAAAAAATTTCCAGTCTCGTCAGTAGATAGCGGCGTACGGCAGGGCTTGGCCCTGTTCTATTCATCCTTTTCATCAATGAACTTTCTGCTCACCTATCAAATTTTGGTTTATCACATTCCGCTCAGTACTGTTGAAATTCAAGTTGTTCACTGTTAATTTTAAGTCTTGAAGACAGAATTAATTCAGCACTTGTACAACTAAAGAGCCTTTCCAACACCAATGAACTTTTTTGAATTTCCAAAAAGCAAAGCAGTTTTGAATCAAAAATGCATAATGGTATTCTCTTTTGGGGAAATTCAATGCAATATCAGTTTTCAAATAGCAAAAGAAAGCCCTGAGGTCTATTGAGACTCTTCAAAGAGTGTGAAATACTGAATTTAGCGTATATATACAATTTTGATGTAAAAAAATAAAAATAAGTAACAAAAATACGAAAATTTTCACGACTCTAGTACACGTAACAAATACTGTTCTTTCTAATAAAAAAATAGACTAGAATTTTCCAAAAAATATTTCACGCACACGGGTGTTAGTGTTGGTTAGCTTAAATTGCTAGTTCAATTTAAAAAAAAGTACATTTAAAAATGATGATGTAGTAGCAAGTTTTAATAAATAAAAAAAGATAAAAAAGACCGCGTGAATGATAATTGGAAATCATAAGTGTCGTCGCAAAACCGAATTTTTCATGTTAAAATCAAGCAAAGAATCGTTTCCTTAAAGTTTGCCAAAACGTTTAAATTAAATAAGTATTTAAAGAAGATTAGATATATTATTATATATTACCGCACCTCCTACAGGTTGTACTTGTTAATATTTATAATTTAAGTACAGGGTGTCTATTTTTTTTATGACACTGCAGAATATCTCGCTTATTGATAAAAATAGAGGAATGCGGTTTAGGCAAAAAAAAATAAAATGATTATTAGTACTTTATATTCCTGGGCAAATTCCTATTCAAACGGAGTATCTACCGAATTTAGTTCGGGATTATGTGTTTTAATTTCCCACAACCCTCAAATTAATATGCCGTAATGAACCAATTTTGCATAAAATGAGGGCGGTTCATTCATATCACATAGGATTATGGATGTAATCCCGTGTCACGGAAATTTACAAATACCGATATTATATTGTTGGATTGGTTTTTCCCCGTGAAATCTAAAACGCAATTGGGAGGACAGGATTTATCGATAAATACTTACTGCGGATCGACATTGGCTGTGGCTTCGTCTAGCATTAAAATTTTGTTGTTCCTAATAATAGCTCTCGCTAGGCATATCAGCTGTCTCTGTCCGACGCTATAATTCGATCCTCTATCCATCACCCTATTTTCTAACCGGTTGATTATATTGCTCGGATCTTTCAGCTCGACGTCCTCGATCGCTTTATATAGTACTTCGTCATTGTATTCCTCAAACGGATCCAGATTGTACCTCAAAGTTCCAGAAAATAGTACCGGGTCTTGGGGAATTATCGAAATCTTAGAACGTAAGGTGTTTAAGGTAAGCTCCTTGGTGTCCAAGTGATCTATCCTGATGCTTCCTTCCACGTTGGCCAGACGAAACAGAGCTGTGATTAGGGACGATTTTCCGGCTCCTGTTCGCCCCACGATCCCCACCTTTTCTTTTGGGTGTATTACCAAGTTCATGTTCTTCAAAACCAACTTGCCGTTTTCGTAGTATCTCAGTCCCATGTCTGCGAAAACAATCTCCCCCGTTTCCGGCCACGATTTGGGCGGAGTCAACGGCTTGGCGGGTTCCTTTTCTTTAGGGAGTACTTTATATTCCAGAACTCTCTCGACTGACATCAGCTGATTGGATACCTCGGCCGCTTGTCGCAAACCCCATTGAAATAAGCCAGTCAACGCTGTAGATTGTGTTATCGCCAGGCCAACCTCGCCACCACTTAAACCAGCATCTGGAAAGATTGTAGCCTTTGCCCATTAATCAAACCAAAGCAAATCCAATCAAATTTATATGAAGGGAAAAAAACAGGGAATGTCACAATTTTTAAGAAATGGAAATAATAATACCATTTTTAACAATTTTAAGCGACAAGTGACTATGTCTGTTGGTTTGTGAATAGACAACCCTATGTTTGCATTGATTTAGGATAAATATTTTGTATGTTACCTTTTCCGAAGGTTAGAAAACTGAAAGTCACCGCCGTAATGAAAACGAAACAGAGCATGTCCATATATAGTCCGAAAGCTGAACTGGCGGCGATGTACATAAACCACGCGCTTGTGTGACAATCTTGGTGCTTGTCGAATTCATAGCGCAAAATGTTTTCGGCGTTGAAGGCTCGGATTGTGGTCAACCCTTGCAATGTCGCGTTGAGGTGGCTGAATACTGGACTTCGCACTAAGGACGGATAAAATATTTTAATGAGTTATGATACATTGATTTAAATTGTCAAATTTTTCAAAGAAACTTCCACAGGCTACTGTAAATACTTTTTAAAATACTTCTGAATTCCTCATGAGTCGGTTTTTGTTGGCTTCTACAGAGCTTGATTGAAACTGGCTCGCATTTTACTCTGTACCTGCTTGTATATTGTTTGAGGGGGCGGAGCTAAATGTGGGGCATAAACATCGTCTCGGATGACTGACATCTAGAGACCTGAGTCGCGGTTAAGATTGTTAAGGCCCCCACAGACGTCGTTCTTTTTTAGAAATTTTACCCGCACGATTAAAACGGTGCGGATAAGTTGGTCAGTGTGTGGCCAAAAACTGTCCTTTTTGCTGGCGTTCAAAAATATCTGGCACTGCTTGATTTTAACCGTCCGTTTTAAATGCGTTCGTTCAAGTGTCAGTGGGCGGTGGGAAAATAATTAAGGACAGTTTTTATCAGTGTCGACTCACTTATTTTACACAGCAATAATTAGTGTTAGTTTTGAGTAGTGATTTTAAATTTGTATTGTTGAATAAAAATATATTGCTGTAGTTTTTGCAATGACAGACTTAGGAAATTACAACAAGCAATTTATAATTGAGTTCATAGAACTGTATAGAAGCTATCCGTGCCTGTGTAAGGTTAAACTTACGGAGTATTCTCATTGAGATAAAAAAAAAGCTTACGAAGATATGATAAAAAAGTTACAAGAAGTAGATAACTCGGCAACAAGAGATTCCGTGAAAAAGAGAATTGACTCTTTACGTGACTGCTTCCGTAAGGAATTGAAAAAAGTCATTCACTCTAAGAAATTTGGCTCTCATTCTACTTTGTATCTGGTTATATATTGTTTGAGAGGGCGGAGCTAAATGAGGGGCATATTGGTGAGAGGTATAGACCTGGGAGGCGGTTAAGATTGTTAGGTTGTTTATAGATTTCTATAGACTCTCGGATTTTTCGTTGGTTAGTTTTATCGAATAAAATTTAATGTCCGGTTTCGTAAGCAAGTTCGACGTTGCAAAAACCAATGCAGGAGAAATCCAGAAGTTTTAATTGTCAAAATTAGTATTAGGATACAATGCAATACGTTTGTTTAGATCGACAATAATACATTGTAGGAAAAGTTATTTTTGATATTAATATAAAAGAAAAAACAAAAAATGTAGAAATTTTTTTCTAATAAGAGGGGTTTCGACATAACTTTGGAAAAAAAAACGGTCGCCCTACATTTCCAGGAGAACGGAAAGACAATTTTCAATTACAATAACTTGTTATTGTTGGTTCATACAAAAGCAAAGACAAGACAGTCTTCAAAAAGTACCAAAAGGAGTTAAAGATGTACGAAATGTGCTATAACAAGAACCATTAACAATAACTCAATAAAATCACTAGTAAAAAAATTGCTATAAAATTTAAATGCTTTAATTTGTATAATGTGGCCTCGCCAACCGCTAAATCGATACAAGTAAAACGCAAAAATAGTGGAAATTTTCGGTAGTTCACTTTCATTATCATTCATTAATTTTAAACACGGTACTTTTTGAAGTCATCCAGTATATCTATCATACTTGTGCAAATTTATTTTTGTCACCAAGCATGACTTTTTAGAAAGAGGCACTTTTTTCATAAAATTGGTAAGAACTTCGGAACACACGTTGTGTAGTGTCAAATTAGTTAATTAGTATTTGAACCATGGGGTATTCCGATTGAAAATTAACAAATATTGAAATTTTTAATAATGCCTTTAAAACGATTAGTTTGAAGAGATACGTATTGTTGTCTCTTTGTTAACAAAGACCCACTAACAAAAAATATTTTTTTACAATTATATCAAACTTATTATTATCGACATGGACACTCCCCCAGATCGATCAAGATTATCGGATTTTCATAAAAAAAGTGTATCGTTGGCAATTCGAAATCCATGTCGACAATATTGTATAACCTTTTAGATGCATATTAGGTGTGTAATTTTCAACTTTGCAATCATTTCCTTTAGCAAATATGGAAATAACTGACCCCAATAGAATAAGAGATTCACCAGATACGTAAGTGCTTTTACAATGTATAATACAACTAGTTAAATTAAAAAGTTTTAAAGATAATCAAGATCACTGCATTTTTTAATATTGTCAAAGGTAAATCTAACAGTCCATGGATGGGGCAAAGTTGTATGTATCCATTATCTGAAGAGCCCCTTGGATGCATTCTTAAAAAATATTGGCCACAATTAATGGCTCAGTGATAGGTTCATTATTTTCATTCAAAAAATACCATCCATAACTGCATCTCTTGTTGTAAAAGATAATAATAGCTTTGTTCCAGCCGCAGTGTTTTGAACTGTAAATTCCTCTCACTCAACCAATAAAAGAATCAGTTGAGTGACAGAAAGAAACAGTTCCAAACCGGTTTATGACTGCAGTTGGAACCACTCAACTCAACTGTAGTCTAATTCATAATAGGAATTTCCTGACGTTTCACAATCATCCTGTTAGATTCTTCAGAGCTTAACTGAAACTGACTTGCAGAGTAGAATCTGTAGGTGAAGAAAAGTAAAGACCTTAGTTGCCGTTGTTTGTAGATTTCTATAAATTAAAGGATTTTTCATTGGTAGAAGAATCAATTCCATGCCAGAGAATCTACATACATACGAATCAAATATTTATCTTTCATGCCCCTTCTTTAGCTGCTCCCTCGTCAAGCGATATATAAAAGCCAACACGACGATTAGCGAAACGTCATCAAATTCGAATTATCAACAGCCGATGCAGGAAGAATTCGGAAGAATTTGTAAATAGTCTTACAGTGACTTGTGGAAGTTTCTTTCAAAAATGCTTATTATTTGTGATAATTATTTTACGAATTTCCTAGAACTGGATTACTTACTCACTCCTTCCAGTCGCTTGATATTTTTGGAAGTTTTGAGGAACACGTGTCTCAGCACTGTCGAAAATAAAGCCACTATTCCAACTACTATCAAAAACATGGGATTGACAACTGCCACCAGAACTATCGATCCCGCAGTCATCAAAATCATCTAGACAAATACCAAATTCGTGTCTGGTAATGTGATCAGCGGTATTAAAGCTTACCTGTCCTGCATCTAGAATAGCTTTCGGCAACAGCTCGTCTATGGAGCCTATATCTTTCGAAAACCTGTTTAGTATCCTTCCGCTGGGGTTGGTATCGAAAAACCTCATTCTGGCGTTGATGACGTTGTCGAACATGACATCGTGCAACTTCTGAGAACTAGTCATCGCTAGTTTGTAGAAAGACATAGACCTCAGCAAGGCTATTATGAACACCGAAGCGATGAGTGCTCCGTAGATTTCTAACCACAAATCGGCTTCCCAGTAATATGGTTGCCAGCTGTCGACTGCTGGATCGGTATCATTCAACCCCGCTGCTTTAACTTCCTCAATTTTTACCCAGTAACTCACAAAGTAATCGACGCCCATCGCGGCACCTTGAGCCAATAGGAAGAACAACATCACGCAGCTGGCGAACATCCATTTCCCGCTGGCGAATAAATAATGGAACAGTAGCGAACCTTGCACTTTGCCTTTCGAAGACTCTTCTTGTAGATCTTTGAAGCGTATCTCTCGTTTGTCTTCCTCGTCTTCACTTTCAGAGTCTCCGCCTTCGGGTAAGAAGGCTTCCGGTAAACTCGTCTCGCTCATCATACTTGCGACGGAGCGGACGCTCTTCAGCGACATCTTGCGATCGCGTTTTGCTACTTCCTTTTCGGTTACTTTGGGCCTCTCCAATTCTACTGGCTCCGGCTCGGCCGTTAGAAGTTGAGCGTAGATGTTATCGCTTTCGGAGAGTTCCTTGAATGAGCCTTGGTTATCGATTTTACCCTGGAAATGAAGAGAAAAGTGAAGTCAGCAGAACATTAGAGATATATTGAGTTGCTGGTCGTAGAAAGCAATCTTCACTGAACCAAGACCATCTCGATTCTGCCTGACGAGGAGATTAGAGAAAACATAGACTAAAATGTGAAAATTATGGAAAATTGCGGTTCGCAAATACTGACTTTTGTTTTTGTTTTGATTTGTCAAAATGAAAACAAAAGTGCTTCAGCTACTGATTTAAAGAAGACTAAGTAACGATATGAGGAAAATGTTGTTGAAACCCTATTAATTTTTCTAGAAAGTAAACCAGTTTTTAACCATACTTTGGAAGATGGGGACAGTGGCAAGCGCTTGGATTTAATTGTAATGCTTTCAGACGAGTCAATATGTATTATAAACGACCCTATTGCTTCATGACTGAGCTTCTCACAATGAAATCCGGAGTTTAGAATTGCAAATCACCTTTACTTTTAAGTAATTGTTTGATTTGCCATTCTCTATTATGAGTTTATAATGCATTTTTTGATAACACGTGTAAATTTGGCTCTTCAGTATCGCCCAAATATGTATTTTCAACAGGGCGGGTGTCGCACTGATTGTATTGCAGATGTGCAAATTTGGAAATTGATGGATACACTGCTATGGTATAATTTTATGGCCGCCTAGAAACCTCTTGGTAAGTCTCAAAAAACAGAGGCATCAAAGACCAATTGAAAATGACCAAAAATTTTTGAAGCAGAGAATATTGGAAGCAGTAGAACCCATTTAACTGAAAGAAATAAGAACCAGTTTTGGCAAACTTTGACGTGAAATAGAAAAATGCGTAGAGTATGAATGCCAAGTTTTTGAAATATAAATTTATGTTTTTTAATTCAATATGCAAAATGTTTTTCATTGAATACATCCGTTACTATATAATATTGCATCGCCGATTTTCTGCAACCTCTATGAGTCTGTCATCTCAGTTTTTAAATATTCTATGGTCGATTATGAATGGTACGATACGTTCCGCCAATCATCCTGTTGATGTCTTCAGGACTTAATATTCTACTCTGTATCTATTCATATACTGCTCTAGGGAAGCTGTCTCAGATGACTAATTCCCATATTGGTGAAAGGTAAAGACCTGAGACGCAGTTAAGATTGATTGGTTGCTTAGTTTGGTCGAATAAGATTTGATGGCCAGGTATTATGATTTTGTTTGGCAACTGCTGATGAGTTAATTTGTCGTAGTCTCTTTCATGGTCTTTTAGCCTAGTTCTTTGTTGCAAAATGAATTTTGTCTGGATTTTTAGTCAAGTGGTAAATTTGGTTTTAACGTTATATTTCTTAAGAACATTTGATATTTGGTTAGAAAGGTTTGGAATGTAATTAGAACCACAGTGGCAAGTGTGGGTTACTTTCGGACTCAATTGATTTGTGAGGTTGTTGTGAAATGTATTTTGCGATGGAACGCTTAATATTTCTAATGTGGAAATTATTAGAAAGAAGACCAGATATTTAACGGCTCCCTAAACAAAAAATAATGCATTAAGTTATCGATCTGTGTGCATAGGTTTCCTTCAAACTATACCTTTCATCAAATGGAAATTAAGCTCCCCTCCCAAACAGTATATAAGTAGGTACAGAGTAGAACGCAAACCAATTTCAGTTGAACTCTCAAGAAGCCAAAAGGATGACTGGTAAAAGGTCAGCAGGTTCGATTTACCAACAATCCATGGAGGAATCCAGTATTACAGGAAGCTGTGGAAGTTTTGAAAAATTCAATAAAATAGGTGCTGATGAGATAATGGGAAATACTCGTATTTTGGTTTTTAATGGAAATTTAAGAGTTTAGAATCTTGAAATGAAAACTGTCATGGTAGGATCCAAGTACCAAGTAGGATCGGATTACAAGTAGTATTAACAGCTCCATTATTAATTTTACCCCATGGGCATTACCATTCATAACTAATTTTAGTTTTCTGGAAATTATATGAACGCATTTTGAGCACAGAAAACGATAGGGTATTTGATTTTGGTGGGTTAGTATACTGGTTAACTGACGGTTAACTTCTCTTAAACGTATACTGCTTGAAATTTTTTGAAACCATGCAAAACTGTTTGAAATCTGAAATAGTTTTTCTACATTCTGTTCGTATATATTCGGTCATAAGCAAAACAGCTTTCTGCATATTGCTTTTTATCTGACGTTTAATTAGTAAGTTACAGAAAGCAATATGCAAAATTTTTTTTTCTACAAATTTTCTGGCAAATTTATTAGTTTGATGGCAAAAAAAAATATTTCTTCAAAAACTGGGTCTTACCAAAAGCATCTTACGAAAATATAACAAATCAAAATGTGATGACGTCTACGTTATTGTTTTACTTCTCACAAATAACGCGTTATCGTCAAATAAAAGTATTTTTCTGAGTCCTTTAATTAAATCTTTACAATTTCCGTTCGGGAGTATGAAGTCCGCGATAATATCGGAGCCGCATTTCACATTTAACTGAAACCCTTATAACAAGAGCTGGTAGAAATTAATTGCTCCAATCGAAGTAAACAAACAAGGCGGAGAAATTTAAAGCTCTCCGACGATTTAAAGCAGTCAGACTTATAGAATTTATTAATAATAAGATTGTATAAGGGTGAGATGTCTGTAATTTCATGTATTGCCGTAACAAAACGAAACGTTATTTGGGATTTCCCTTCGTCCGCCGCATAAAGAAAATTTCATTTGTTAATAATAGGCTCGTAAAATTTCTACTTAGTTTGAGTATCATATTTTCGTTAATTCGGAAAATTGCCACCTTGAAACAAAAAATTGTTACTTACATTAGTCAAAATGATGATGTTATCAGCGTCCTTAAGATGGTGAACTTGATGCGTCACCAATATTCTCGTCTTGTTCTGCAAGTACCCGTTTATACAGAGGTCGTAGAGATGCTTCGACACGTGAGTATCTACTGCCGAAAGCGGATCATCTAATAAGTAGATGTCGGCTTCCCTATAAATCGCTCTAGCCAAATTTATTCTAGCTTTTTGACCGCCACTTAAAGAAGCGCCTAAAAATTATAGTAACTCCGTAGAACTCATTTCTCTGGGCGTAAGCTCGGTATTTATTTCAAAATTAACTTTTGCTTGGTCATATTCGTTAGCAATATCTTGAAAGGATCCAATAATAAACAAATCTGCCAATGTGTATTTAAAAGAATTGCCTCTAAATGTTTTATTGATATTTTCACTCGAATTGTTACCATTTTCTAGCAGCTCTAGCTCAGCTGTGTAATGAATCTACTGCAAGTAATAGAGAAACAGCAGAAATAGGGGTGTACTCATTATACAAAAGCAAAGCAAATGGATGCAATGCAATAATTACGAAGTCTAGAGAGCGAGAGAGTGCGAATCCCTAGGTACCACGTCCAACAATACGGAATAAGTCAGCATTTACAAATGTAAGGAAAGTTTCTAGTTTAGAGAAATAAACATCAGATCGATATGGAATGGAGTCATGGACAACGAACAAAATTAACTTAAAAAGACTCCAGGCTTTCGGATTGTGGGTATATAGAATTCAAGTTATAGTTTCTTGCAAGGAAGGAGTAAATAATGAAGAGATATTAAACAGCGGCGATAGTGGACAGTGTAAAAACAAAACCTGAAGAATTTATTTTTTATTTTCGAAAAGGCCACCACATATTAGCCATGGTTAAAGTGAGTACTATTTTGAACCTGACACAAATTTAAACGATTTTTCGTTAATGCTCTGTCTTCTATCTCTGCAAGAAAAGTGTTAGGGATGTTCGCACATTTTGTGAAATAAATTTGCATCTCCAGCAACGCTTAACCCATTTTAGTAAACTTGGTGTCATTACCTTACTTACCTTGCCGTCATGTGGCGCTTTGTGACATAATAAAAAATTAAAAAATGAATAACAGATTTTACAATGGAAAAAAGTCGGATATTTTGAAAAATTTCCACTTTTCGTTTGGTTTAATTTATTATTTAATATGGACAATGATCTTTAAAATCAGAATTAAATGTTATTATTTGTCTTCGTTCCTTTTTTAGAATACCTTTGTATATTAATTAGAATCGCTACATATTTTTTCATTAAAAGTTTGTGTTAATACCTCACTAATGTAATTTAAGTAGTAAAATGAGGAAAATTATTATACAAGGGGTCGAAATAGTGTGTCAAAGTAATATATTTCGTTTATGATTTATTGAATGAAAAGTGTAAAAACTTTTGGATGTGACTAAAAGCAACAATTTCAATTTATTACAGGGAAAATCAAACTTTTATATTTTTAAATTTGACGCACTGTATACTCAATCACCCAATGTAGGGTTGTTATGATCTATACCTATTTATTCGGTATTCATTTGTTGATCAAAAATGTCCGATGTTTCATACCCCATATTTTTGATACCGTTTCAGACAGCTATAATTTTATTATGCCAACAATTTTATAAAGTGGTATTTTTATATTATACTAGAAGTTAGTTCGAGTCGATGATACCGCGAGAGTAAAAATAAAAAATATTAATTATCGTGCAAAAGTCAAATGCAACACCCTGTATGTTATGCTTCTATTAATTACTTCGGTTAAAGCTCTTTCAATTGTGTTAAGCATACCTAAACTTAGTATTTTTTGGGCGTACACATTTTTACGAACTAAAAATTTTTATGCCGTCCGAAAATACCACAAAAGATTGAAAACAGAATGAATATTACCTGAACGCGAAAACTCGGCAGAGACAAATTGAGCATAATTCTTTCTGATAATAGCATCTGCTACATGTTAATACAAAATTTAATGGTGAAATAATTTATTAAATCGAGATTTAATAAAAACACAAAATTATAAACTGCGCAACTTTGGAAAAACAATTCGAACAGTATTTTACGCCAGGGATAACATTAAAAATACATGCATGCATTTGCATGGGAAACCTTTGAAGCAAAAGTTCATAGTTCGGTAATATTTTGGGCTTTTAGAAATTCGGAATTTTTAAATTAATGAAAGGAAAAGAAACATTTTTCCACAAAATTAAAAATTTACCTGCTTTATAATTTACCTACCTACATAATTTGACAATTTTTTTAAATTTTGTCAGTTAAAATGTGTATACCTCAAAAAATATGTTAATTTAGCTATAGCGATTCGAATTAACTTCAAGACAAGTATAGGTTTCTCAGTACATTTGAAAATAATTTTAATGAAGTTATATGTCAGATAAAACAAATTTAGTTTTTATATGGTCAAGCGTTACGCATTTATTATGTTAGTATCTCGTGCTTGTCAAAATTGTCTACCCTGTAAATTTAAAATTATGAAATACTTATTTGTTAACATTTTGACGTAATAAGTATGTAAACTTTTCACAATCTAGTGCTTAGAAGAATTTTTTAAGCTAGGAACGAATAAAATAGTGATTGCTTCAAAATTAGTCATAACAATAAATTAATTGAAAACGGACAAGGATATCAAAAGCAATTAATGTCAGCAACTGGATAATGTGTGAACCAAAGGTATTGCAAAAAAAATAAAAGGTAAAACATAATTTTAAATATCATTTGGTCTAAACAATAAATGACCATTTTATTTGCTAAATTAATAATTAAACATTAAGAAAAATGCATAAATTAGAAAAATTTCCCAAACATTATTTTGTCATAACCTAGGAAAATCCTATTTTGGAGATATGGAAATGAATCTAAAAAAATGGCCGAACACTTCCCATCCCTTTCCTGACAGAGAAGACCAAGCAGTATTAACCAAGCATATTTAAGTTTGTCGCAACTTTAAAACAGTATTTACTCACTTTAACTATCTTCTTCTTCTTCCTGTGCCTTATCCTCAGTGGACGTTGGCGATTACTATGGCCCATCTGATTTTATTTGCTGCAGCCCGAAATAGATCCATAGATGTCATTCCCGTCCATTGTCTTAGATTTCGCAGCCACGATATTCTTCGTCTTCCAGGACCTCTTTTGCCGTTAAGCTTGCCCTGCATAATAAGCTGGAGTAGGCTATATTTCTGGTTTCGCATAACATGGCCGAAGTATGATAGTTTGCGTTCCTTGATTACGTTTAAGACCTCTTTTTGTTTTCTCATACGCTGTAGGACGGCTTCGTTGGTTACGCGGTAGGTCCATGATATTCTAAGCATGCGTCTGTAGCACCACATCTCAAATGCTTCCAGACGTTTACATGCAGCGTCGGTTAGAGTCCAAGCTTCCACCCCATGTGTTAGTATTGAGAAAACGTAGCATTTAAGAACTCTGACTCTGAGGTGTAAGCCTATATTTAGATTGCACAGCACGCTTCTCATTCGGTTGAAAGCTGTTCTACCCTTCTCAATTCGGATCTTAATTTCATTTATTTGTTCCCATTTATTGTTAAGAAATGTGCCCAAGTAGTTTATCGATGTAACCGTTTCTAATTGGGAGCCATTTGCATAAAACTGGCCATCAATATCTTGTTTGCTTATTATCATGACCTTTGTTTTATTTATGTTTAGGTGCATGTTGTAGGTTTCGCATACTTCCGTTACTCTGTCTATTAGCCTTTGAAGACCCTCAGCTGTGTCTGCAATTAGGACTGTATCGTCAGCGTACCTTAGATTATTAATGAGTACGCCGTTTATTAAAATGCCGTCCTCTGCATTCTCCAGAGCCTCTCTAAACAGTCTCTCTGAGTAAACGTTAAAGAGCAGAGGAGAGAGCACGCATCCCTGTCGAACTCCTTGGCGTACTTCAAACTCTTCAGAGAGTGCATTCTCCACCCGAACACGAGCCTTTTGATTCCAGTAAAGGTTAGATATAATGCGGATATCCCTGTCATCCATGCCTGACTGTCTGAGCGTTTCCAATAGTTTCCTGTGATTTACTCTATCAAAGGCTTTCTCGAAGTCGATGAAACAGGCAAAGACATTGCAGTTAACATCGCGTGCCCTTTGTATTAGAACATTAAGGCTAAACAATGCTTCCCGTGTACCGAGTCCGTTCCTAAATCCGAATTGTGTCTCTCCGATATGTTCTTCGAGTTTGGGATAAATACGTTCATGTATGATTTTTAGGAATGTTTTTAGAACGTGACTCATTAGACTAATGGATCTGTAGTCTTCGCATTTTTTAGCTGTGATTTTTTTCGGTATGGGGATAAATGTTGAAAACAACCATTCTTCTGGGATTGTGCCGCTCTCATAAATGTAATTGAATAGCTCTGTAACGAGGTCTAGGTGGTTTTGTTCTATGAGCTTTAGCAAGTCTGCATAAACTTCATCGGGTCCTGCTGCTTTGTTGTTTTTAAGCTTCCTGATTGCATGCGCAACCTCTTCCGTGGTTATAGAGGGCCCAGTTTCTATGATTTGTTCCTCTAAAGTGCCTCGGTTCTCGTCATTATAGAGTGCCTGCATGTACTCCCTCCATCTTTCTATCTTCTGATCAATCTCCAGTAGTGCCTCGCCATTTATGTTTGTGACCATCCCTGTGTTTCTAGGTCTGAATAAACCTGCAGCTTCTTTGATTCTTTTATGTAGATTAAACGAATCATGTTGGTTTTCCAGTTGCTCGATTTCGGTGCATTTCTCTGCCAGCCAAGCCTCCTTTGTCTCCTTGATCTTTCTTTTAATCAAGCTATGGATTTGTCGATATCTTTCTTCGTTGTTGTTTTTATATTTTCTTCGCTCCTCCATGAGGTCCAATATTTCCTCGGTCATCCATCTGGAGTTTTTCTTCTTCCTTTCTGTGAGAAGTCTAGACTTTGCCGTCTCCACTATGGTGTTCTTTGTATCCATCCATTTTCGTTCAATATGGTTATATGATTTTTCTTTGATTTCAGCTATTTTTCTATTTAATTCCTGTTTTGTTTCGGTTTTAACATTTTCGTCTTTAAGTTTTTGTGTATCCACTCGTTCTGCTCGTTTTGATTTTGCTAGCTTCTTTAATCGTAGTCTTAAAGTGGATAGCAATAGATTATTTAACTATGGTCAACAGAAATTTCTGTAGGAAACGAATTTTAAAATTGAAAATAACAATTACGCCCCCTGGTGGCCATTTCTTGACCGATATATTTCATAAATTTCGTTTCTTGTTTCATTTCGAGGTCTGTTCTATTTATATATCTATTGGGATTGGGATAGAGGACATAGCGCAAAAACAATTGAAATGCTTTCGACATGTTCACAGAATGAAGGATGACAGAGTGCCAAAAGAAGTAAGAGAGGACAACCAAGAAAGAACTGGGGTAAAGGACTAAAGCAGCTACGCGTGAAAGAAACCTGAATAAGAATGAGTGGAATGACAAACGGTAATGGAGAACCATCGCAAGGCGTATAACGCTATGAAGTTTTCAAAGCAATAACGACCTTTTTCAAATGAAAAAGAAACCCACTGGACGTCAATGTGAACCAATTTCAACCAAAGCGATACTTGCCTCTATCTCCGACGATAGTTAGATCGCCGTTGGAAAACTGTTCGAAGTCCTTTTCGAGGGCACAAGCTTTCACAACGTTGTTGTAACGTTTCTTGTCGAATTCCGATCCGAACAGAATATTTTGCCTCACGGTGGCCGCGAAGACCCAAGCTTCCTGTGACGCGTACGACAGGGAACCGTTGACGTTAATTTTTCCGGAGACCACGTCCAGTTCGCCCAAGATCGTTTGCAGAAACGAACTCTTCCCGCTACCGACAGGTCCGATCACTCCCAAAAGCTCCCGCGTCTTCACATTCAAGTTGATACTTTCGAGGGCGTACTCGTTGGAGTGCGCGTTCCACTTCACGACCAAGTCGCGCATGCTCAATGCATATTTTTCCGTAACATTGCCACGGAGACTTGCGGTGCCGTTGGTAAGAGCGAGAGCAGAGTACTCTTCGCTGATCATTATGCTTTCCAGTCTTCTGACGGCTACGAATAATTCTGCTATTTCGGAAATACCCCTCACGAACATTTGAGACATGGTTTGCGCTACGCTGGCCAACAGAGATGTTATAACGAACACCTGAAAGAATAATTGCAGATGACAACTAGAGTCTCAAATTGGTTAAACAAGTCTTACGGTGGAAGCCGTTACCGGGCGGTCCATCAAGACTAGCGTTACCAAGGTGCCGAAAAGCGCCATCCTCGTGGTGAACAAATTGAAGGTCATATACAGTCCCCTTACGTACGAAGATTTAATGATGATATCCAGTTCCGCCTTCCGAGCGAACCTGATCAGTTTCGCGAAAGGCTTCTCCCAAGCGTACATCTTGATTACTTGAATGCCAGACAAAATTTCGTCCATCAGCCTGACTCGCTCGTCAGTTTTCAGGGCTGTGGCTTTTCTATAGACGGCTGACAATTTCCCAGTGTAACCTTGCAGAGGCACAACGATGAAGACGCAGGTTATACCAACTACTCCAGCATAACCAGCCTCGAGCCACATGAAGTAAAGCACGCATAAGGTGACTATCGGAGCTTGCCACATATGGTGAATAAAAACCGACACCAAATCAAACCTGCTCACGTCGTTTGAGAGGAGATTGACTATCTTCCCGGAAGCTGTCTCGCCTAGGGCGGTCTTGCTCAGTCGCAGCGACTAAAATTAAACTGTATTGGGCGAATAATGTTGGTGAAGGGTTTACCTTTCTGTAGATGAGGGCGCACGCAGCTGCGCGAACTTTCATGCCGTAATGGAACGCACCCATGATGTACTGATTCTCCAATATAGCTATGCACAACGTGCAGAAGGATATAACACCAGCGTAGATAAGCGCTTCGTCTTTGGTGATTTCCGGTACGACTCTGAAAATCTACCGGGATGAATACCAATTTCAGTTAATCGGGACTGGGCGAAGTTAGTTTACCTGAAGTATTTTAGTAGAACCCCTAAAGCTAAAGGTTGTACCAGTATGACGAACTGTAGTAAGGCCAGCGTAATACCCAATATAGTGTATTCGGGCCAGAACGCTTTAATGAGAGCGATCATCAGGCTGGGCTTTCCATTTTGAAGTTTCGCTTTCTCGTATTGTTTATTCCATTCTCTAGAACAAGTTTTTGATTTCGTATATTCGGAAGACATCGAATTTCACCTGCTCCTAAATTTAAATATAATACTGATAAATTATTTGCTTATGGTGTGCGTGGAGATGCACTTGACTGGTTAAAATATTTTTTCACTAACGGATGTCGAGCAGTAGAGTTGCCTATGACGCACACGTTGCGTCGTGGCCTTCCACCCCCACAAGCCAGTTGCGTCGAGTGCACTTAAAATTTTAGGCAGTCAGTACTTTGCCGGCTTTCGAGAGGGTTTGTTGCTTTTTTTCGAGCAGTTTTGGCTAGTTTTTGCATTGTCGGTTTTGAGAATTTGGGAATTTCGTCAAAGAAGTAGTGTTATGGATAGTGAGATCCCAAGCTCTTCGGGTGCGAAAAAAAGACGTGTTGAGTGGGATAGAAAAACATTGGTAAAATGGATGAAATTCATTATCCCGGAAAAAATCTGTAGCTTGATGAGTCAATGGTTTTATGGCGAGGGCGATTACTTTTTCGTACATACATTAAGAATAAGAAGCATAAGTTTGGTGTAAAATTGTATATCCTTTGAGAACCGTCCGGTTTAGTTTTAAAAGTAAGAATTTACACTGGTGCAGAAGATGACATGTCCGGCCAGTGAATGTTGTTTTAGCATTGATGAAAAAGTATTTAGGCATGGGAAATAGTGTGTTTGTCGATAATTTCTACAATAGTTTTTCCCTTGCCAAAGAGCTTCTCCTAAGAAACACCTTTGTGGCTGGCACTCTAAGAAAAGACAGAAAAGAAAATGCAAAAGAGGTTGTAGACGCAAAGCTCAAGAAGTACTTAGAAAATGCCCAGAAAACATACTGATTGGAAAGTCGAAAGATAAGAGAGAAGTTTTGTTTATTTCTACAGTACTTTGGAACAACAAAAGAATCGAAGAGGCGAAAGTAAAGACAAGCCAAAGGCGATAGCCGAATCTAATAAGAATACGTCAGGAATAGATCGTCAAGACTAAATGATTTCTTATTATTCCTCTGAAAAAAAAATTCCAAGTTGATACGAGAAGTTGTTTGTGCACTTTTTGTCGATTACTACAGTTTTCGGCACACTCTTATAAAAGAACTGCATTCTGAAGCAAACAAAACAAATAACCAAACAAGCCCAGCTATAAAGGTGATACCGGAAAGCAAATAAGAAAAAGATACAGAGTATGCTACAACCAGAAACTGCAGAAAGACACCGGTGTTTTTCTGTCCCTCCTGTCCAGAAAAGTGGGAACCAAATTACGTGTCATTTTAATGTTTAATGTGGATACCCGAAATCTTTATGGAAATAAATTTCATTTGATTTGATTTGATATGATTGTTGTGTTGATAAATCGAACTTGCTGTCATTTCCTTTTGGCTTGTTCAGAGCTTAAATGATGATGTTAATACTGCCAACGTCATAGCTTGACCCGATTAGGTATGATTTATCATTAATTTAACCCATTAATGCCCAGAACTATGAACTTTTTAACAACTAAATTCATCGTTTTGAATTAAAAAACGACAAAATATGATATGAAAAAGTGTTAAAAAAAATTTTGAAATGTGGTTTTTGATTTTGATAATGGGTCATTAACGACCCCTTCGGCGCTTATTGAATAAGAAACAAGAGTTAATTATCTTTTGTTTATTTTTTGATATTTTAAACAGAAACATTAAGAAGTGGTTACATTTTATGGAATTCATGAAAAACTTTGTCGTGAAGTGGAATTTGACAAGTTTCACACGATTTTGTGGTTTTGTTTTTACATAAAGGACACCTCCTTGGCTGTTGACAAACTATCAAGTGGCGTCCTTCCGAAGTGGTACATTATATAGAGGATCTCTTTGGCCCAGGCATTTTTGGTTTTACTCCGTATTTCTTTAAAAGATAGCGGGAAATTTCTCGTCGAAAATAAAGATTATCTTGTTCATAACTGTATGCGCGGGCTAGTTGACTAGCATTAGCAACGCTCAAATCCAATACAGTATGGGGGTGTACCACTTTTTGTCCCTCATGGCAATTCGGTAGTTGGATATATTATTATCCATTTGATCCACACCTCAAACTTGTTATACATTTTTATTGCATGGGGTTGGGGAACATCAACTTTGAACCGAAAACCTTTTACATTTTTGTAAAGGCTCAACGCCGTACTCATTTGACAAAACACTGACAACACTGTTGGCCTTCCATTTTATTCCTACGATACCTTTGTCTTTATCCACCGCACTGTCCATAATTCGACAGGATGACTATCTTTAGATAATGTTGATGGTGGTAACTCCAAGAGACATTTGTCCTATTCAAATCACCCTTCTCCCATTGAAATTTTATTTCGGGTTTACTCTTTTTTTTAGGAGGTTGCATGCTTTTAGTAACTGACTGCGATTGAATGTCAACATTACCACCTTCTTGCTGTTCTGCCATAAGTTGCCGCGTACTAAGATGATTTGGATCGTTATCTTGTTCATCCCCTGAGTCGCAGTCGGTATTTTGGCTATCACTTTCGGGATAAGGGGGGGGGGGGGTAATATTTGCACTTCATCCTCGACAAACTTTTCAGCTTCTTCTAGCAGTTCAGCACCGGAAAGTGACTTTTTCCTAATAAATTATAAAAAGGTCTCATAAGTGCCCAAGTGCCAGCAACAAAAAATGACTTGTCAGTTTTATATATAACTAAAAACACATTTAAAACTATAACAGATATTTACAAGAATCTCTAACAAATATTTAAAAATAATTATAAAAACAAAATATTAAAATTTAAGCTACTTACCAATAATAATTCGATGACATTGTTTTGCCTTTTTCTTTTTCTTACACGCGTAAATCTCAGCACTTACGAACAAGAGTATACGGGCTACATGTTGGTGCCTGCTAATTGCAGAGGACAAATTCCGAGCGCCATCTCTATATTGCAACACACAATAGAATAATTTTTACTTGGTGGGTTATTAACCACCCCTTGGGCATTAATGAGTTAATGTGGACCGCAGAAGGTGCTTTGGAAAAAAGTATTTTTTTAATTTCACACTATTTGAGGACATTCTCTATAAACATTTTTGTGTCGGAATACTTATTTCACCTCACGGTTATCGCTAATATTTTAATGACTATCACTTGTAGCAACTGATATTGGTAGCATCTCAATATGTGAGGCAGGGACATAATCAGACTTTAAACTTGAACTTAACCCAGATAAAAACTCCGTTTAAAGTGCTTAATGGTGTGGCTAATTATCCATTAGATTGATATTTTGCTGGGTCATGGAAATCGTAGGAAATATTGGGAGGCTTCAGAACCACACACATTTTTCAAAAGAATGCATGGTATCCTGATAGCAACAGTGATCGCTTAGATATTCTAAAACTAACTCAGATCAAAGTCCAAAGCTGTCATGGAACCTATAATGAACATGTGGTAGTAAGTTTTAGTTAATTTCACCAATTTCAGTAAAGTTTTGAAATCTGCCTTCACGCTCAGACAAACTTATTATGATATTGATACTGCCAACATCACAACCTGACTTGACATTAAAGCACGAAAGGAATCCTGCGGAGGCGCCTGCTGACTTAAGAGGCATCTCTTCCTATTTTGGATATTGCAGAGTTCATCGAAATTGAGGAAGAGTAGGTCATTTGCGTGCTATGCCATGGGCTAAATCTCCCAAATTATACTATACTCTTTCTAATCTGATGTTTGCCTAAATATTAAGTATTTTGGTGCTTAGAAAATCATAATGAATGAAACAAAATTATATGATTTTCGATATCGTTCACAGAAAAGAATACCGACTTAATCTATACATAAAATATAGGCTAAGTACAATTATTACTATTATTGATGTCGCGGCCTTGAAATCATGCACTGATATCAATGTGTCATGTCATGCCAAATTATCAGTTCTGCCAATGTGATAAGATATCTAAACGACCTTGATTGTTTTTAGATAATCTGAGTGCGAACTCACCTTTCTAATCGATCTCCCAACACGGAACTCTTATCACTTTTTATGGGATTATATAAGTCTTCCACTTCTAACTTTTTAGTGTAGCCTTTTTTGAACATATCAGTAGTGTAGCTAAAAAAAAAACTTAACTTATTCTAAATGGATGCGGATCCCCTAGGCATTATAAAGTTTTCCTTAATAGAAAAGCTTTAGATATTACTAGAGAAAACCAGAAATCACTTTCTGCTTTCTTTATACGATGATGTCCAAAACAAATACGTAAAATGTGTAAATTTCTTGGTAGTAGGGAGCTTCAAAAAATGTTTTTAATGTTTTTTAACTCTTATCCTCTCAAAAAAAAAATCCTCAGCAAAGATGAGCCCTGTAGCGCAACTTTAAGGATTCGCTATTAATGTTTTAGTTTCATTTTTAAATAACATGGGAAAAATTCTTTTTCCACTAAAATTAAATTTACGTATAATATTCGCCATTTTTTACCAAAAAAAATTATATTGTTAAAGTTGAGTCTTTAAGCTAACTTAAGCTAACCAAAACTAACCAAAATCGTATAACAAAGTATGATTATAATTAAAAGAAGAATAATTACAGCCATTTAAATATTACTAAATTTTGAATTTTTCAGAAATAGCTTCTAATAATTTTTTATCTACATAATTTCCCAAAATTTTTATCCTAATTAATAGTCAGTGTTTTTTTTCTATGGATTGCAAATTTTAAAACGGTTGTCAGTACGTAGTGTAGGTGGCAGCACTAGATCACACAGTACAGTTGTCAAATTATCAGTGTCTGCAACACATATTATATTAAGAAATTATTTTGGATTGTCATTCTCTCAGCTCTCAGTAATTTCAATTATTATCAGTAAAATGGCTGAAAAGAAAATTTATTTGGTTGGTTTTTCACGTAGAAAAGTTTTATAATTATTCTTCTACAAACATGCAGATTCTAACCTCACAATTCGACAGTTTGGATGAAGTGATGCGTGATGTTATGAAAATTTGGAAAACTACTGGTTTTTCCGTCTGTTAGCCATATAACGCTATTACTAAAATTATGGAGAGTGGGAAAGAAAACTCAGAAACAAAAAATTACGGAGCATACATTTAAAAATCGACTTGAGTATTTGTTTGATATATCTAATCATAACTCAGCACATTCTTTAACAGAAGCTGAGTCTAAATATTTAAATGAAGAATAGAAAACATCAAATCGACATAGTATTTTTTTAACTTCTGCAAACTTAGAAGTTTTGACAGAGACTCTAATGAATTGTAAGGTTAGAATCTGTATGTTTGTACAAAAATGATTGTAAAACTTTTCTTATACTCGGTAATTTTAGTTTACTTAATTTTCTACATGAAAAACCAACAAAATAAATTTTCTTTTCAGTCATTTTACTGATAATAATTGAAAATACTGAGAGCTTTAAAGAATGACAATACACAATAATTTCTTAATGTATGTGTTGCAGACCCTGATAATTTTATAACTGTACCGTACGATCTAATATAATTAGTACTGCCACCTGCACTACGTACGGACAACCATTTTAAAATTTGAAATCCATAGAAATAAAACACTGTCTATTAATTAGGATAAAAATTTCTGAAAAATTCAAAATTTTGGTAATTTTTAAATGGCTGTAATTAATCTTCTTTTAATGATAATCATACTTCGTTATACGATTTTGGAAAGCTTATAGACTCAACTTTAACAATATAAATTGGTATTTTGTAAAAAATCGCGAACATTATATGTAAATTTAATTTTTGTAAAAAGAATTTTTCCCAAGTTAATTAAATCTGAAACTAAAATAAAAATAATAAATAATTAAAGTTGATCTACATGGTTCATCTTTGGTGAGGATTTTTTTATATCAAAAAGAAACATTTGAGAGGGTAAGAGCAAAAAAAAATTATTTTTTTTTGAACCACCCTAATGGGTAGCCTTATATGACTTACGTGAAAAACATTTTTCCCAGCGGGGTGGACGATTCTCGCGGGTTGGGATTGACATTGTCTTTGGTAATATCCATTACGGGAGTTCTAATATAAAAAGTTACAGCTTCTAAAATTTCACGCGTTCATTGTTCTACTTAGTTATTTGTTCCAGGCTAAACCGTTTCCCTCTCGTTTCACCTGAAACGGAAAATTTGAATTGTCAACACAAGTATAAAGTATCTGAGACGTTATTAAAATTTCTGAAGTTTCGGTCGTCCGGCTGAGCTGTACGGCTGTGACATTTCCCTTTAAATACTAACAAGCTGACCCCTAAAAGAACGATGTGATATTGGAAAATTTAATTAAATGTTTTCTTTGACTAGTATATGAAACTATAACTTTTAGTTTAACAATTGCTGATTCCTGATCATTGTAACTAGTTTTCAAGTAAACATGTCAACCAAAAAAAAAAAAGTTTTAATAAATAATATCCCTAAACTGGTTTTGTTGCAATTTAATGCTGTTTGATACGACAAGATTCTCATTTGGTGTTCTCAAATTAAAATTGCGTTGTGCAGTGGAAATAGCCCATCGAACATTCATTTATTTCAATTTAATCAAATGAAGCAACAAAAAATTTAAATTTCTGTCTCTTGAAGTTTTTTCGTATAGTGCTTGTTTTCCAGAAGGAAAAAACAATTTAATGCGTGTCCCTAATTTCCAACAAATTATAATCGATTTTTTTTTTAATAAACGTTATTCAGATTTATTTCTGAATTAGAACTGGAAGTCCAGTGGCGAATTTTTTCAAAAAAGAAATACCCGTTATCTTGAGAACTGTGGATTTCTGAACCATGTTCGTCTAAGAGAATTGTACTATTTTTTCATATAGAATCAGTCCCTAAATGTATGTTCCTCGATACAAACAATGCTATACTGAATACTAAAATGTCATAATGCTGTGTTTACTAAAGATAAGTAATAAGCTTTGCTTGCCGTGTAAAATTTTCGTCAGATTTTCCTTTAATACATGTGCGTTAATACAGGCTTCTTTACCCCCTCAATAAATAAATAAATCCTATACTGCAAGCTTGTAAAAAAAAATGAATAACATATCTTTGTGTGTAAGTGAGTTAAAAATGCCATTATATATTATCATGTGCTTTACATTATAATATATGTATATGTATAATTTTTTTCATAAATTTAATATTGGCCAGAATTAGTTTTCTTTTACAAATCCAATTTTAAACTGTATAATAGAATATAATAAGTTTAAAAGTACTTCGGATTAACAACCAAATATCTGGATTTCGAATATTTCTGCTAACCAAATTATCAGCATAGAGTGGTATAGTGTGGTTTACCCTCTATATTTTTAACAAGAATTTTTCAATGAAAGAAAAAAATACGTAGTTATTTTCAACCTTACCGTCTTCACAACAGTGAACAAGAGACGATAAGACTCCCCGAATAGTGCATTTTTGAAATTTTTGAAAATTTCATCGCCTTTATGATAGAGATGGATGAAATTAGACAATTTTCAATAGTTTCATTAGTTTGAATGATGATTGTGCATTTGTTCGCATTAAATACAGTTTTCGCACAAAAGCTTAGCCTTTCTTGTTGAGTTTTCGAGAAAATGTTATTTGAAAAATTTGCTGCTTTTGTTAAGTCCCCTAACGTAGAGTGGATGTAGGATATACTGATTTTGGCACGCCCTGTATATTTAGTGTCACAGTATTTTCTATTAGTACTAATGTGGTCTTATCAAACCTAAATAAAAACCTAATATTATATTTAATTAAATAATTTTCAATAATTTTAAAAGTCCGCCCCTTATGCTCTGCCCTACAGTACTCATTGCACATTAGTTTTGTTGTATTGGGCAGGTTATTTCGACAACTGCCGCCAAAAACTTAAAGGATATACTTTGTTAGAAAGTATACCAAAAATTTGCAAAAGTTGTCTAGTTCTCCAGCACTTTTGGTAGAACAAATGTTGTTGGCACACCTGGTATATTCACTCGCTTACCCTCGTTGATGCTACTAAATGTGACGCGCAAAATTCGGTTTGTATCCTGAATCCCAAAACACCGTTCGTTGGTACACCACAAAAATAGATTAGATTTTGGAAACTCGTTAAATTCGGCAGAAAATTTTTCCAAAAACCATAACCATAACGTACGCTCGTTTATGTTTTTAATTATAACTGTTAATTGCACATAATTGTTCTCACGAAATATTCCACGCTGACCGAAATTAAAACACACATGGTCTCGTAACGAGACACACACTGCCAATGAAAAATCGCGCGCTGCTTATCTAGCGGTGCTAGTAAAATCGTCATCGTAAGCAAATATAAATTATTTTTCGCGAGAATCTGAGCGCTAATAGTAAGTAAAAATAGTATTTATCATCCGGACGCGAAATCAAAGAGAACAGGAATCGATCGGTGTAAAATTCGCTGACGGACGTTTCCCCGAATCAGTTTGGTTTAATTCCGATAGTCCATAGATATAAAATTAATGGCGATTACCGCTGAATGACGTTTAATAAATTTACACACACATCCATAGCAGGATAGATGTTTTTAACAACTTTATAACGGAAATATTAAACTAATATTTACAGGGTGGCCCGTTTAAACATTAAACTATTACCAACCATTAAACACAAAAGTTATTTCTATTAAAATGTTGTTTATTTTTTTTCTTTTTTCGTAATCGTCACCTTTTTATATTTATATACAGGGTGGTAAAACAAAATTTCCTTTTTTTAAACAGAACACTCTACATTTTATTGCATTTTGGATAGTCCTTTCAAAGACAAATTGAACGATATATATGAGTATGGGTCTGCGATGCACCGTTTCGAACTTATTTGCGATCATCTTCAGAATTTCGGTTATGTTTAAACCATCATTGTTGGGTTGCTTATTAACTTTTTAATCTGCTTTTCGTCTATTATTTTTACGAAAATAATGCTTTTCTTTATGCGATGATCAAATTTAAAATATTTTCTTAGAATACACGGTATTGCCTGGTTTCGCGAAATGATAATTTTCTCAATTGTCTTAAATATACGAGGTTAGCGCCAAAATTTCCCGGCCTGGCATAGATGCAGTTCCAGTATCACGATAAAACTTTGTCTTCTTTTAAATATATATCTTAGTAGATTGGGAAAAAAAATTGAAGTCTTGCGTCAAATAGTTTTTTATTCACAGCATTTTAAACAAGACATGTCCGAAAAAATGTCGCATAAAGTTTTTGACAAAAGAAGGGTTAGCACCTAAAATTATTAAAGAAAGGCTGAATGGTGTGTACGGCCAAAGTTCTCCTTTTTTTTTATTGGTAAAATATGGGTCCCAAAATTCTAGACCCCCAGATTGCGCACCATACCTTTATGGATCTTCGCCCCTGCTTGTTTAGTTCAAACACACATTTTTTATTTTCTGAACTGCAATAATGCGTATTTTTCCTATTAAATAACACCGCAGTCGTTGTAAATATTGATTCATTAGTACAAATCATGTATTGAAATATATTATCTAAAAAATGCCTATCCCTCATTATATTGCAAAATTCGAGTATTAAGTTAAAATTATTTGTACTGGTGTGAATTTAAATGGATTATAGCAAGGCGGGTGGACGTCTTTCACTAAAACACTGCCATTTGTTAGAAATTGTTGGTATATTTTGGAAACAATTTTTTTTCTGGCAATCGCCTATCTGGAAATTTGATTCTATATGGTCTGAGAGCAAAAGCCGGACTTTTGTTACTGGAGATGTAACATCAACTTTTTCCTCCTTCGTTTACTTTACACAAAATAAACTCATCAAAAATGCAACTTAGTAAAACAAATAGAAAATAGTGGCAGTCCGATTACTATTAAGAATATGAATATTTTTTTCCTATTTAAGGACCTTATTTACAAAATTGTTAAATTATAAATGTAAAAGAATTTATGTACTCTTGGAAAATACTTGCCAATTAAACGAAAACGGTAAGCCAATATTATGTTATATAATTGAAATTGCTATTAAAGTGGATATTCGAAAATCCAATAATATACAGGGTGTCTTATTTAAGAAAATTGAGAAAAGTATCGTTTTGCGAAACGTGGCAACTCCGCGTATTTTAAGAAAATATTTTAAATTTGATCAGTGCCTAAAGAAAAGCATTATTTTCGTAAAAATAATAGTTGGAAAATAGTTGGAAGACGGTGCATCACACTTATCCAAAAATTTAATAAAATGTAGGATGTGTTCTATTTAAAAAAAATTTAATTTAAAGTTATCATGTTATTAGGTATTGAATTATAATATTTCACAAAAAACTCCAATGACGACACATTGTTAAATATTTCGTAAACCTAACACTCCTGGTATGTATTTCGCTCCTAAACTCCTAAAAAAGATCTTAAAGTTCATATTTTCACGAAATTATATATATTCACATGTTAATTGTGTGGACAACACCGTGTCTTTATCAAATGTAATATTTACAAACTACCTGATACTATATATACGGAAAAATGTGGCTGTATGTAAAATATCAAAATTGTCGTCAAAAATGTGTTTTCCTGTGTTTAAGTGTGTAGCATAATTAGAATCAGACTATTGTCTTCTAACGCTTTTTTACGTTTCTTGAAGGATCTACCTGTTTGTCCAATATACATTTTTAGTTATTATTTATTCTGTTAAATCGATTTTCATCAAATAAAAGCCATCTCAGTTCAATTTTTGAAAGAAGCTGAAATTGGTTATTTGGTATTTTAAATTGCTTCTACATTGCCGAAAACAGAAGTCCCGCTGCAAGGAAAACCCAGATCCAAAGCCAGACGAAATGGTTGAAGGAAGAACGAAGACACGAGTATAGAAAACAGGATACAAATAACATTTATGTAAAGGTAATAAATCCTGAATTGTCTCATAGACTTAATCCCATAGAAGAATTTGACACATTTGATTATAGAGTTCGAACACACATTTCATCAATCATTTATAAAAAGTTTCTTAGAAAAAATATAAAGTTAGACAAAGTAATTTCTAATACAAAAAATTCTAACAGCAAGCCAGATATTACAAAGTGTACCGACCATCAATTTTACAACAGGTTCATAAAGTTAACAGACCCAACATTTATTTAAATTTATGTAAAAAAGTTTAACTTTAACTTACAGCACTCGAACATTAATAGAGAATTAGACTGTTTAGGGATGGAATGTGAATTAGCAATTAAGGACATTAACGATTATAATTTAAACATTTATTAGCGAATATAATAAACTGTCAATTATTAAATAACAACAAACCCTAAGAAATTTCTCAAATGTCACTAGTAAAATCTATCAAAAGCAAAGCTTCTGAAAATAACATAATATTTACACGTGCAGATAAAGGGAAGACAGTCATGGCTATCAATCTCACAGAATACATTTCAAAAACCAACAATTTTCTTAAACCAGAACTTTTCCAATGTATCAAACACGATCCTACCTAGTTATATCAAAGACAAGTCAAGGAAGTAATTACCAAGTACACACTATTTAGTGGCAAAGACAAGTATTTATTAACAATTATGAATACACAACCGCCGAAATTATATTCTTTAGTTAAATTACATAAACAAGATATGCCCATTAGATCAGTAGTGCCTTATGTAACAGCTCCAGCAATTAAACTCTCAACGAAATTAGTAAATATTTTAAAGTTCCACAGAGATTTTAAACAAAAATTTGCAATAAAAAATTCTTTTGAATTAATCACCAAAATTAAAGATATCGGAATCCCTTCTAACGCAACACTATTGTCTTTTGATGTACAAAACTTATTTCCCAATATTCCACCTATGAATGTGATAGATTTAGTAGATTTCACCCTCGCTCGGAAACAGGTTAACCCATTGGTGAAACAAGATTTATTAAATTACTTAAAAATTTATTGAGATCAAAATTAGTTTGAATTTAATGGACAGATTTACATTTCTAAAGAAGGTTTGATTATGGGAAACTTATTTACTCCTTTTTTAGCCGAGATTTCACGGATAATTTGGAAAATATCATACAAAAACTTCCTTTAAGTAAAATTTTTGTATGGCTTGCTTTGTTGGAACGGACAGACAATAGAATTATTTTTTAAATTACATTAACTCATTACATAATCGTATAAAATTCACTATCGAGATTGAACAGGATAACTCTATTAATTTTTTAGACATAACTTTTAGACTTAACTATTACGAAAACGCAAAACAAATTACATTTTTTCATTTACCATAAACCTACACACATGGACACAGTCATACATAACAGCTCAAATCACTTTTTATACACACAACATGGTTGCATTTTGCAAAATTACAACAAAGAACTTAATATCATTAAACGAATTGCACTGAACAACGGCTACAATCCGTCCATTATCGATAAAATTATAAATAAAAAATAAATCCAGACAACAGTAAATTCTGTTTATCTGAGACATAATACAGAACACAAACAATTTAAAGCAACTACATACATAGGAGAACCCAGTGAAAAAGTTTCAAAACATTTGTCAAAATTTGGTTTAAAAATAGCTTTTAGAACTATTAACACAGTAGGAAAATTTGTAAAAAACAATAAAACGAAGTGTCCAAAATCTCAAAAATCAGATGCCTGCAGGTTGAAATGTGGATCTTGTCCAAAAATTTATATAGGACAAACAGGTAGATCGTTCGAGAAACGCATTAACAAACATAAAAGAGTGTTTAAAAACAATAATCTAAATTATAATTATGCTACACAATTAAACACAGAAGAACACATTTTTGACTACAATTTTGATATTTTACATACAGCCACAAAAAATAGAAAATTAAATTTATTGGAAGCCACGGAGATTAACAAAATAAGACATTTAAATGTATTGCTTAACGATCAATTAGAATTAAATAACTCTCCATTATTAAACTTAAATTCTCACAAGAACATTAATTAAGGTTTTATGGTCATTTTTTGGTAGATACAGTAGCAGATAGTTTGTAAATATTACATTTGATAAAGACACGCTGTTGTCGAAACAACTGTCATGCGAATATATATAATTTTCCTAAAAATCTGAATTTTTGGTTCTTATTTATTTTGTTAAATGGATTTTCATCAAGTAAAAGCCACTTCAGTTCAATCGCTTATAGTCTTTATTAAAAAAGTACAGAAATTTAGACTTCTATGAGACTCTATCCTAAGCCACCAAATCTGTTTATAAAAATTAGAAATATCATCATATTTTCTTAAACCATACACA